CTCTGAGCCCATCAGTAGGGATCCACACACAAGAGTCAACTCTAGCATTCGCCTGTCACCTGCATCAGGGGGGAAATAAAACCCTGAGTACTCAATTGTATTCAGCAAGACTTACCCGCCATGAGAAATAAAAGACTCCAATGATATGCAAGGCTATCTGGCTTGTGGATTTATTGCATCTGCTGGGTCATTACTAAACGTGCGGCCTTATATTCAATTTTATTAGCAGTCAGCATTAGTTCATTAACCAACAATTCTATGTAAGCACCCGTGCTACTTTTAAGCAAGTGGTAAGCAATCAGAATTATTTTACCATCTTTCATCTTTAAGTTCTTACTACGGTGCTAGACTATAGACAAATCATAGCGGATCACCTGCCGATTCGTGAACCATTGCATCCTAGCTAGGTACCCTGAAACGCACGTCCCGCTTGTACCCCAGGCACAAGCAAGACCAAGCCACTACCCTCCAGTCACGGAGTCTAGGTCCCCATCTAAACTTGGACTCTAAGCCTCCGCTCCTGAGTCCCGGACTCAGTGCGGTGCTTAGACCTCCACCATCCCCGTCTCTAATTAGTCGGTCCGGAAAGAGCCAGAACCCATGACAAGAGGACAATGAGCCTTCCTGCGCCCATATACAAGTATGTGTTCAGGATAATAAGTCTGTGACCTGACTATCATCCATTGCAACGGTCGGTCCTTAACCGACACAGGGAGAACAAGTGCAACCCGAGCCTCGCTCGAATGCCAAACCAAGTCCAGATCCAAAGTACCATTCTGTCCGGTCTTCAATTATCATTCATATATATTCCATGTGATAGTAATATAATAACAATAATAAGATCTTTTCTATCTCTCATGAGTGACAGGCAATCACTCGACTTCTACTGGAGTCCTATAGCATAGCAATCTACACGATCCTGTCATACTAGTAAGAATCATAGAGTAAGGATATATATTTAATATATATATATATACACACACAAGTGGGTTTTATTCAACTCCTTTAACTTAATGCACAAGCATAAATTAAAGTGCAGAATAATAGGGGTTATGAACCGGGCCTTACCTAGGTAAGATATAACCAAAAGTTAGCATCCCAACGTGGCGACACGATCACCAATGCACCATCTTTTCTGCTACTCCTGTCGTCTCCATGATCCATCGTTGTTCCTATTAGGATATACGTGGATGCAACGTATAGATGTAAATAATCAACGACAGCCGAAACTCTTAGAAATTCGATCACGCCTCATAAGCTAACGAGATAGCTCTAACGCTAGTCTATGTATCCACGTCGTCAAGTAAGGCTCGTTCTTGAAAAATGTTTTGGTTCTACAAACCCCCTAATTAATTTCGACATTTGATTGATTAAATATATATTTTCGTACTAGTGCTCATTGAGTTATCTTAACAAACTAATTCCTATGGAGCTACAAAATTATAGTGAGCACCTAATATTGCTAGGAATCTCTTTGTCAGAAAATTTTTGAGCCAACACTGTCACCAATTTATCACAATAATTCCTACAAGTTTATATTTTGATAATATTAAGTATCTCAAATTAATTATATAGCTTCTAAGAATATTATAAAACTATGTGAACAAAATATACTAGCAGATAGATCATGATTTTAGGATCCTAATAAAATTTGTTTTACTATTTTTGGACGTCAATGTGATTTTATAATATTTACCAGATATCCGCTAAGAAATAACATGAACAATCTATTTCTAATTCCTTCAAAAAAAGAAAAGCCAAAACCAGCCCCAACATGGCCCAACTTGGCGCTGCCCCGCTGGCGTCTTGTGTGTGTGACGCGACCCACGGCAGAGGCCGGTGGCCCACCAGGAGCGCCCGCGGCCGGCTGCGGCCCATGTGGAGCCGAGGGCCCAAGCGGCCGGAGCGCCGGCCAACAGCCCTAGTGGCCCAGTAGACCCCCACTCCCCACACACTTTTTGCGAAACCACCCCTAAACTTTCTCGAAACTAACCCGCAATATAAGAAAAATATTCATGTGAGTCACGGTTTTGCATTGGGAACCCTAGACTTGTTTCTATTCTCACCCGTGGTCCTTCTCTTGAATCAGAGCAGAGCAGCGAGCAGGGGAGGCAGTGCGCCGGCCGATTCCCGGCTGAAGGGTTGGCTCGCCGGCGGGCGGTGTTGTCGCAGAGGCTGCGGTAGCCACCCGCACGTGCCTAGGTAGGATGTGGCTCGCCTGGAGGTGGTGTGCATTTGGCGTGGTGGTCGCTGACGCATAGGGAGAGGAGGCGGCGGCAATCTCCAACTCGGCCAAGGTGCGCCAGGCGGAGAGGATGAATAGGCGAAGGTGGTGGTGGTGGCGGCTTGGTGGGCATAGCGGCGAGGGCCCGCCATGCTGCGCGCTGTGGTGGTCGCGGCAAGTGGCTACACGACGTCGGTGCACAATCGGCGGCTCCCGGCCGACAGCAGCGCGGCTACGGCGGGGACAGCGGCACGGCTCAGCAAGGACCGACCGGGGGCACGGGAGTGGCGGCACGAGCAGGGGAAGGAGGTGGCTGCGGGAGCCTCCCTGGCCATGGCGGCCATGCCATGCTATGGGCGGCAGAGCAAGGGAGAACACGAGGGGAGGCAGAGAGGAAAGTAGGCAGCAGCGGCACAATCCTCTCCTCATTAATGCATGCGCGTCGGACAGGACGAGGTAGGTGAGATGAGTGGTGAGAGCGAAGCGCCGCCATGACCGAACGGCAACGGACAAGAGCACCTCCCTACACGCGCGCGCGGACGGCATTACGATCGACAGCAGCCACGCATGATTTTTAAAGCGAACGAAAAACTGCTAACGATCACGATTGAGGTTCAACTAATTCCACGACTCTAAAGTTGATCTTATCAGCCATCTAATGGAGCAATCCGCAAAACAAAAGGGACCACCCGAGAGGAAGATAGGAGGATGCCAAGATGGGTTCGTCTAAGTGGTATTTGGTTCGCGAACCGAGCGATAATTCATGGTCCGCAGGCCAGCGTTCTAACGGTTAGGCAATTTCTACTGAGTGCGTGACACCCATCGCCACCTCGACCTACACCGTTCTCAAGTGCTCATTTCGGACGCATGGAATCGACGGTGCAAAAACATGGAGTCGGTGTTTAGGAAATTTTGTGGATATTTAAATGTCGAAGTAGCATTGTCTATCATCTTTTCAGACTTCAAAGGAATTCAAGGTTCCATATAGAACTAACACTCCCTAGCACTTTGCCGTAATTTTGCAAGGTCTAAACCTCGACCATTTCAACTAACAAACATAGCATGACATAGCCCATACTCCATACTAACCCATGGGAGCAAAACATTTGAACACCTCTTAATTATTTTGCTTAATATAAATAGTTAAAAATAGCATCCTAACTAAAATTTCAACTTCCCGCCGATTCACGAAAGGTCTAGTTTAAATGTCGGATTCGATTTCGAACTATCGATATACTATTGAACAACTTTTATTCACCAAAACAAGAGTTGCATTTTCATCTATTAAACTTGGGCTCCAAATTTTATCCAAGTACTAAATACAAGTTATATTTTATTTTGTTTATAAAAATTGCTTTTAAATGGATGTTTAAAACTATTTATTCTACTCTTCGCGTTAGGAATTTTTATTAACACATATAGGCATTTACGTAACTAACCCACTATATTTATAGATCTATCGCTCAGGCCATTATCTCTGTGCTTAGCGAGCTCGTAAGTGTTATAACCAACCCCCTAAAAAGAATCTCGTCCCGAGATCGGAGTAAGAATCAAGAGGGAAACATTGTATTGTATTTCGTAAATCTAGACTTACATGAAAGATTACACGACGTCGAACGCTAAATTACATTGGGATTTAAAGTTACATGGTTAAAAGCAACCTGTACAACCAAAGCTTAATCCAGAAGTCGAGAAACAACAAGATAATGATTATCCAAAACATGGCGTATGACCAACAGATCCAGAAACAGGAGACTGAGAAATCAAACATCGTGAACCCTAAGACCAAACTAACCAACGGTAGACTTGAACTTCCTCGAAAACCAGATCCCTTCTTCCTCTCAGATTACACAATCACCTCTGACTGACGAACCTAGTTCCACAATGATGACTGGATCTCGTAGCTCTGCTTCGGATTCGAGGGGATGGGGATGAAGAAGAAGGGCAAGGTCCATGGGTATCTTATAGTGGTGAACGGAGGTGGGACGCAACGCACCGAAAGTGGAGACGGCATGAATGGGATACACAGACGGTTCATGCTGTGGGGATAAAGTCGGCCATGGTGCGCTTCTCTCATGAGAAATGCAGAGGGAGGATAAGGAGAGGAGAGGAGAAGGGTTCGCTCGACGAGGAAGGCGTGCGGCGGCCGTGTCCCCAAGAGAAGAAAAGGAGAGGGGAAGGGGGGGGGGTCCGGTACGAGAACGAGGATGTGGGATCGAGAGCCAACAGGATGCCGAGAAAAAGGGGAAGCACACAGCACACAAGGACGGCTTGTGATGAGCCTTGAATTTGGTGAAATTACGTACTCCATTCCTTATACTAATATTAATTATTAGCTCGTGAAGAATACGATGGTGATGAATCAAAGTATAAATAAAAAATGAGTGGGAAAATGATGAAGATGGACTAACACATACTCACGTTAAAAAAAGAGAGAGAACCCACAGACGATTGATGTATAGTCAAAGCTCAAACAACTACTTAGTACATAACCGTTCCTTGCATTACCCCTCGCAAATGAGCTAAGTTTATTTATTTAATTTATGTTACATATCTCACTCACAAAATAGAGTATATATAAGTGTATTTACTACGCAAAGCCTTATTGATATCTTTTTTATGTTCGTATACGTACACACCCATGTACACGCGGGGCAAAAGATGCCAAGTGTAGATTTGATATTCCACAATCAACGATTCAACACCAGCGTCAACTAGTGTATCAGGCAATTAATAGCAAGGGGCATTTCACGTATGACGTGGATGACCTGCATGTTTACGCCAGAACCATCTCTAGCTCCAGCGCAGACTGTGCAGTCCTGTATGCCCTGGGGCGATTCTTGACCGGGTAGTAGGTATCCATGGCGATGCCGCACTTGCCCGTGGGCGCGGCCACGTTGCGCCTCATGCGGATGTAGCCGGCCTCGCCCCATCTGGTACCCCACGAGTTCTTCACGATCCAGTAATCCTTGCCATTCTCGCTGCCATAGCCCACCGCTGTGACGCCGTGGTCTAGCTTCGTCCCGCATACGCCGTCGAAGACACCCTGTTGTGTGAGCGTGCGAGGGTATAAATAAAGTTGAGGGCCGGGGAAGGGGCAAAGTTGCTAGGCTGTTTCGAATGAGTTTCCCAAAATACATTTTTTGAATAAATAAACAAAATGGCCTATATGCGTGCATGTTGTTTCCCTAGTCGTGGCATGCATTATAAGCGACGTTTTTTATTTTTTATTTTTACCGATTTATAGTGCTGGAACGAACGGCCGCCAGCCTCGATGGCGACGCTAACAGGCTGATGGGCCACCGCCGCCTGTAACGCCTTCTCATTGTTGGCTGGCAACACCCTCTTGTACGAACTTATGGACACAACCTTCTTCTTTATCTACATAACAAAACATGTACAAATATCCGTCACCATCGACGCAGCGAGCAGGTTAGGTGTTCATGCAAATTTACTGCAGAAACCGAAACTTAATTACTTATCATGACAGTACCGTACCGACCTTGTTGGCATCACAAGTGCCGTCACGTCCGGTGAAGGGGTAGTCGGCCTCGGTGTCGATCCCGCCATTGCTGATAACCCACTGGAAAGCGTAATCCATGCGTCCGCCGCTGCAGCCATGGCTCTTGTGATCGCAGTCGATCAGCTCCTGCTCCGACAACTCCACGAGCTTACCTGTCACGATCTTGTTGATGCCCTCCATTGCCGCCACTGCCGAGAATGCCCAGCACCCACCTGCGCGCATCTCCCAGGGGCGCAAAGATCATCCATCAGTCAAATACATACCTAGCTCCATATTCTTACCGGAGATGAGAACTTCATAGCTCGATCGAGCTATGGAGCAACGACGACGAGCCGACGATCGTGTTTACGGACCGCATGTGCTTTGGTTCCTGACGCGGGTGACGGCGCCGCTCTTTTGCGCCAGTCGACGGCGGCTGGGACGGGCTGCGGCTCGCCAGCGCTGTTCAGGTCGAAGCGGGTGCTCCGCCCGTCGGTGGCGTCGTCTGCCGTCGTGTCGTTGCGGCGGCTCTGCTGGAAGCCGAGGACGCGGCCGCGGAACTCCTCCAGGGTGAGGTCGGCGAAGGGGGTGAGGCCGAGGCGGAAGCCGTGGAGCCCCAGGTCGGCCTCGGCGTTGTGGGCGTCAATGTAGCGGAGATTGTCGCAGAACACCTCCAACCGCAGGAGGTCGTCGTCGTCGTTGCCGCGCAGCAGCCACGGCGGGTGCTTTGACTTCCACGCCTCGTACAGCTGCCGCACCTCCTCATCCACCCGCTCCCACGGCGCCGCCGAGTGGATGTTGCGGGCACAGCGGAGACGTCGACAGCGGCCAGTGCCATGACCAATGCCACCGCGAGCATTATGGCCGCCATCGCCGTGGGCACAGGGGAGCGTGCTGGATGCATGGGATGTAGGGCGCTCGAGAGCCGGACTGGTCTCAACTCTCAAGTCTCAAGACAAGTGCTATCATACGGTCGTGTTGGTCGGCTCGGTGCCTCAACCTGTGAAGCGAAAGGGTCAATTTATAGCCACGCGGGACGCCAAGTGGACCATCCGGGCCCACCCACGGCGCCAACCAGCAACCGTTGACGCGATTTGTAGAGATAAGCACCACTAGAGCTACGAGTCTACGCCGATGCTTGTTTTGGCACGGTTTCTAGTTAGTTTTTCTAAGTAAAAATAAATTACACTATCATTTCCTAAAATACTAGACAATTCTTATCTAGATCCCCAAATTATGAAATTGCATATCTAGGTCCTGAACTATTTAAGTATGTCATCCATGTCCAAAACAGCCACGTCACGGTCCATTAATTAACGTGACGCTCGCATGAAATTGACATGTGGGTCCATAGCTTATAATTACAGGGGACGGTGCCTAAACTATCATGGGATCCTCACATAGGTCCTAAACTATAAAATTACCCATCTCGGTCCCTAATCGCCAATATAGTTGGATCATGGGACGCGCCCACGGCGAGCATTGTTGTCAAGTTTGTGCTAAAACACCTCACTCACTCATTGTGAATTGGTGACATGGAACAACCGCCAGCAACAACTTGGCGGGTATGTTGGCCAGTTGTTCCATGTCACCGTAGCGTAGTGATGATATATGTGTCTTACCACACACTTTGACGACAAATTGATGTCAAGATGTCGCCGGTCCAACCATATTGGCAGATGGCATCAATACATTTATCTCCAAGATAAGATGAAAAGTAGACAATAAGAAGTCCAATGGCAAGCAAAGGCTCGGAAACCTGTTTGGCAATTCACACGACGATGAATGAAGCGTGAAGAGGTTTCTTGAGACAAGGACTACATTAGTTTAATAGATTATCGGGGACCAAAATGAGTAATTTTATAGTTTCCGACCTAGGTGAGAATCACATGATAGTTTACACCATCCCTATAATTATGAGTTATGGACCCACATGTAGATTCCACGTTGGAGCGCCATGTCGCCTAACGGATTGTGTGATGAGGACATCCTTCCATTGATACAACCACACTGCTTTGCACAACAAGGTCCGATGACAAGAGCTCGAGCACGACAACTTAATTATCGGGTAAAGTCGTTCCTCATTGTTCATACAAACTCGTCTCATAATTGGATGCTACTAAATCATGGTGATGATTGTCTTATTCTTAGGAATGTTGGTCAAGACTCCATTGCCTCATGTTTAGACCCCATGATGAGGATGGAGCAGCCGAACAAGTGGGAATCATCATTAATGGGGCGCGCACTCATCTCGAGACAGCAGGGACACTCCATCAAAAGTACCATAACTCCTTGATACGAGATCCAATGAAGCTGGTTTTTGACTTGTTGGAAAGAGCGCGTCGTCCTCTTTCACATGGGTCCAACCCCACTATCAGAATCTACCAAAGCTGTGTGCAGCAAGCCAAAGGACGCAGAGACCTACAGCTTGGGCCTAGGCCTTGTACTAACTACAACCCTTTGAGGGACGCCTTGATTAGGGTTTCCCACTCCCCTTGTGCTCTCCTCCTTATAAATAGAGCCGGTGAGCCATCAGAATGAGGTTGGGTTTTGTTTAGATGCAAGATAGCTGCTGCTTCTTCCTTGTAAACGCGCGTGTGTCGGCTAGACCACCCGATTTGCTTGTTTCAAGACCCCAACTTGTGATTCAGATTCAGCCTTTGGCTTAAATCCGTGAGTTATTTGCTTGTTCATCTTGTTCTTGCTTGTTCTCGGTTGCTTGCAGGTTCTTGGTGTTCTTGGCACGGCAAGAACATCACAATCGAGCCGGTGTACTGCTGCTAAGGCGCAGACAACCTTGTGGTCGTTGTAGTCGGACGACCAACGTCGAATCCACCCCAAATCGAGTTTATCCACACTCACCAAAAGATCAGGAACAACCCCTAGTCCCATCATGTGGTAATCAGAGCAAGGTTCTTTGGTAAGTGATTTACTGTTCATTACTTTACCTATAGTCCGAAATATAAAAATAGGATAGAACTGAAATTCCAAACACAAGTTTGAGCCTTGTCGATCTGCTTAGTTCTTTGCTTGTTGAGTTTGTGCTTTACATCGTGGTGTCAAGTGCTGGTTCTTAGGTTCTAATCCTTTAGAGTTTTGAGTTCTTGTCACGTTTTAGTCACCACACAATCCGTTGTTGCCTTCCCCCCCCCCCCACTTCAGCCGCTGCAATCTCCACCAATACCACCACCACCACCACCACCAAAAGCACCATTGCTCTCTCCACCTTTTATTTGAAACCCTCACCACCATCACCTTCACCGCGCGCCTACACAAACACTACCTTATGCACCTGTCCTTTTGGTGCAAATCTGAGTACACTCAGTTCTAAAAATAAGAGAGTTCAAATTGCATATTTGTACTACTTGTTGCAATCCTTATCCCTAGTAAAAGAAAGTCTATGCTACTTGCTACATTCTTGTTATAATCATATTGCAAAAGTTCAGTTTGTGCGCTACTTGTCGAAAAGAAAAGAAAAGAAAAGAAAAGAAAAAAGAAAAGAAAAGAAAGGAAAAGGAGGAAAGAAAGAAAGAAAGAAAGAAAGAAAAGAAGGGTTAAGTTGATGCTATTTACTCTCATCATTTCCATTGTTTGCTCTTGTCCGGTGACAACATTTGTGTCTAGGCTCGTGTCTCTAGCACGGGTTAGCCTAGGACCAACCACGATACTATCTTTGAACACTTATTCAACTTGCATTGACTAACGTGGTTCCAGTTGTACCTTGATTTTTTTAAGCCACCCACAGCTCCACAAATTATCTACAACGTCACACGGTGGTTCTACTTGCTACTACTTGTGTTGTTCTTGTCGTCGCCAACACCATCTCGCATAGCAAGGTAAGGACATGTAAGAACTCGGTTGCACATCTTTGAGAGAATGAAAATTGTTGCCACCTAATTCAGTTAGTTGGTAGGACATATTTTCTTGTGATTCCCTTGCTACATATGAAACATGGCGGGGAGAAGGTGAAAGGACCCTCCACAATCACCTCGATCAAAAGCCTTCTTTGCAACACTTTGAACGCAAAGTGAGGCTCCATCTGTGAACACCTTGATGAGGATGTTCGTGTCACCAATGAGCGCCTTGGTCAATTGGAGACGGCTCAGATTGAGACCAACACCAAGTTGGCTTCCTTGGAAGGCACTCTTGGTTCTCATTAATACATCTCTTGTAGGTGTCTTGGAGCGATTGGAGAGGATGGAAGCAGAATCATTTGTGATGGTTTCGAACGACGCAATCACAACAACAACAACACCATGGGCGAGTCGCTTGGTCATGATGAAGAAGAATATGCAATGGACATCGAGCTTGATGAGGAGCTGAATGGTCATCGACGCATCGAACAACATCGCCGCCGCCATGAGACGTGTCCTCGCCGACCACGGCAAGAGGTGCGATGCCGATGACTCATTTGGCAAGATTAAATTCACCATACCTACTTTTGATGGGAGGTATAATCTCGATATGTACCTTTGTTGGGAATTAGTGTTGATCGAAATTTACTTGCCATGATTTTCACGAGGACAAACGTGTTAGGGCTGCAACTAGTGAGTTTCTTGACTTTGCCTCTGTTTGGTGGTCCGAATACCATCGTAAGAACCCAAATAACACACCAACTTGGGATGCTTTGAAACGGGTTATGCGGGCCGATTTGTTCCTTCTTATTATGCCCGTGATATTTTACATAAGTTGCAACAATTGAGGCAAGGATCCAAATCAGAGAAGAGTACTATCAAGAGCTACAAATGGGTATGCTTTGCGGGCTAGAGGAAAATGAGGATGGTGCCATAGCTAGATTTATGGGTGGGCTGAACCAGGAGATTCAGGACATTCTAGCTTATAAGGAATATAATTACATCAATCGTTTATTTCACCTTGCTTGTAAAGTTGAACGAGAAGTCTTGGACGACGAGCTAGCATGAGGGCTAACATTCCTGCAGGTCGTGCTAGCCCATGGACACCCTCCAATCTTTCTTTGCACCGTCAACGCGTGCACCCCCACAATCTTCCTTGACCATCAAGCCACGCTCCTCTACAACAAATTACTGTACCATGCCCAAGTGAACCAACTAGAGGAGCAATGGCTACATCTCGCCAAGAGTTCATCCTCGGTGGTATCCACGGGAGAACAAGGGATATTCAGTGCCTCACGCTGCAAAGGATATGGCCACATACGCAAGGGGCGCCCAAGCACACGTGTGATGATTGTGCGAGAGCTGATGGTGGGTATTCTCTCCGCTAGTGATTTTGATGAAGAAACATATGCTTTGCTTGTTGCTAACAATGTAGCGGAAGGAGATGATTTCCAACAAGACAAAGAGCACATTAGGGCTGAAGTGCTTTGAGCACTATGAGAGCCTCATGGTGCGGCGGGTGCTAAGTGCCCAAATGGAGAGGGCTAAACAAAATCAGCGCCACACTTTGTTTCAAACCAAGTGTGTGATCAAGGAACGCTCTTGCTTGTGTGATCATAGATGGAGGAAGCTGCAACAACTTGGCAAGTCTTTGAAATGGTGGAGAAGCTTTCATTGAGAACAAAACCACACCATGACCTTACTACATTCGGTGGCTTAACAAAGAGCGGCAAGGTGAAGGTAACCCGATTGGTAAGGGTAGAGTTTGCCATTGGTTCTTATCATGATTCCATTGATTGCGATGTTGTGCCTATGCAAGCATGCTCTATGTTGTTAGGTAGACCATGGCAGTTTGATAAAGATTCCTTGCACTCTGGTAAAACAAATCAACACTCTTTTGTGCATAATGACAAGAAGATTGTGTTGCACCCCATGTCCCCGAGTCTATTCTAAGAGATGAACTTGCTAGATCTAGCAAACTTAAGAATCAGTTTGTTGCTAGTGAAAATCAGATTGTCGCTAATGAACTTGAGAAACATAAGAAGAAGTCTAGCAAATCTGTTCATCATAATAAAAATGAGATCAAATTTGAAAGGCTCTTGTTACTTTGCCACCAAATCTGATTTGGATGAGATTGATGCTAGTACTCTCTGTTTTGCTATGCTTTGGTTTGCAAAGAAACTTTATTTTCACTCGAAGATACATCTATTTCTTTGCCTCCTCGCCGTCACTAATCTTTTGCAGGAGTATGCCGATGTTTTTCCAAAGGAGGTACCACCGGGCTGCCACCAATTCGAGGGATTGAACACCAGATTGACCTCATCCCTAGGGCTTCCTTGCCTAATAAATGCTGTGAGTATAGGACCAACCCGAACGAGACAAAAGAGATTCGAGAGACAAGTACAAGAATTGCTCAACAAAAGGTTATGTGCGTGAGTCTCTTAGCCCTTGTGCCGTTCCCTGCTTTTTAGTTCCTAAGAAGGATGGATCATGGCGCATGTGTGTTGATTGTAGAGCGATAAACAACATCACAATCAGATATCGTCATCCTATTCCAAGGTTAGATGATATGCTTGATGAATTGAGTGGCTCAATTGTGTTCTCTAAAATTGATTTGCGTAGTGGTTAC